AATCCAATCCAAATTGCAGATTGCAAAAAGAGACTCCGGCCTTCACATTTGTCTTCCAATTAACTGTTACTCAGAGCAAGAGCCACAGTTAGGAAGAAAATAGAGCTTTTGGCCGGCGCGAGAACTCTAACGTCAGAAAACTGCAAAAACTGACTGTGTCAACGGAATCCGATACATACAATCCCCGTGGAGGTCAGTCTTCTAATTACTCGCAGGTCATAAAATGACCTCTATAATTTTCATGACCGAGTGCCAGCCCGCGAGGATATAACATTAATATAGTACAGCCTTTGTCAAATAAATTTCAGGAAGATATCTCCAAGTGCCAGAAGTAAGACCACTTTCAAAGGTTTAACATATTCTTTTTTAAACATTGCTATCAGGAGGACTTCAGCTGATAAAAAATGATTGCATAAATGGACGTGCTTAGCACTCCTTCCCATGCAGGAAGTAACTGAGTTAAAGAGGCATCGAAGAGTAAAGATAAAAACATAGACGGATCAAAATAGTTTCTTCCTCAGGTGGGTTGTTACGGCTTCCCAAAAGAAAACGGGTGCGCAACGGCTCGTGAAACCTTTTCATAACGGGCTATTTGATATTAAATACAGTGGAATCTCGGTTAACGAGTTCAACCCGTTCCGGCACCGAGCTCGTCACTTAAAACGCTCGTCTTGCGAAAAGTAACCAATCAAACAATAGAAGTTTATTGATTAGCTGCAGGCGACCGAGGACCCACGCCCTGGGGGAAGACTCGATGGCGGACACAGGCGCACACACGTACTGGCAACTCGTTAACTGAGCGGAGACTCATCAGTGGAAACAATGTTCCTGTTAGTGGCTCGCTCATTACCTCAAAAGCTCGTAGATGGGACTGCTGGTTACCCGAGGCTCCACTGTAATTTTAAGTCCGCTTAAACAAGCATTTTGTTGGAATGCATATGCAGGGTTGAAGTAGAGGGTGACAAAGTTTAGCAACAATCCTGTCAAAAAGGCATCTTCAGGTAGCACCCAATTATTGTGACCGCGTACGCAATAAACGCAGGTAAAACGCAAAAAATGCAAAGCTCAACGATTACTATTAATGATGAAATTTAGTGGAGGCGCACGTGTCCAGTTAAATTAAACCCAAGGTCACTTTTCGGCTTTCAGTTGAGGACACAACCTTGCCAGAGCTATTTTAATAGCAACCTTGCAATATGAGCATGTGACAAAACAGCATGGAATTCAAAGTCATGCAAGTAAGTTTCATGAAGAAATTAATTAGGTCATCACTATCACACAAACACTTGTCAAAAAACTTGAAGACACTAGTCAGATGGTCCGCGGCACGCAAGAAAAAAGGCTTATTCTCCTTCTTGTCACGCAAGGCGTTAATTATCCAGATTATATAGAAATCACTAAAGAAGCATAAGGCAGGACGAGCGGAGACAAACGGTTGATTGAAATACAATAACCGTGGCTTGATACTGGAGTCAATGACTTCAAAGTAGTGTCAGTGGAAATATGAAAGCTCAGAGAATGCTAGTCTGCATGTCAGGATAAAGGCATGAAGCTATGTGCCTCTAGTATTACTACTTTAGGACAAGGAGGTATGCGCTTATTCAGTAAGGCAGCCATATCTGTTTTATATTCGGTCGGGCAATTGACAAAGATACAATTTTTGGGCGAGATGTTTGATCAAATGTCCAGAAAGGCTCTAGGGCATTTAGCCTACGGGGAGGTTTAGTGAACCTGTAGCGCCTTTTGCGTCTTGCATGAAGCAACGCATTAGATCACGTGATTGCAGTCCGTAGTCTGCCTTTGGGGCAACCGAAAACTGCGCGCGACGCTTGCCTCCCACGACTGCTAGTAGGTGCCCACTGCTAGACTGACCCCAATCGGTGTGGCCAATCACTTTCAAGACTGACTCACACAAAGACCACTCTCTTGGGCTCTGTGACGAGTGCCACGCGCAAACACTTCGGACACTAGCCCTGTCACGAGTGGTCGTGCACTCGTCCGACAGTCAACTTCCTCCTACCTCTTCTCCACCACTGCTGTACAGAATTAACTATTCCTTCCACCTGGCGTCGCAGTTCTTATATTCCCACAATGAACCGGGCCTGAAGATCACAGAGGCGGAGATTCTACCTACTAACTTAATTCACTGCGATGGGGGTGTTAGTTGGCCTGCCTTGACTACAGCGACAGCAGCACGATACCAGTGCCATGCTTAGAATATCGATAAACCAAGTTTATTGGGTGTTCAGGAGGATTCTATCTTAGGTATCTTGCACCCGGGAGAAATTTGAAACGAATAGGAGTTCAACGGTGCCAAAGTGTTACCTTTTAAAGAGAGAAAACTGAATTGGCTCCAAAAAAATAAATATGAAAACATTAAGACCATAGATCAGTAAACACAGTCTAATCGATAAAATGGGAGGGACACGGCAATGCGCGAACAGGTGTGTGTAAATCAGAGTCACAGAGTACTATCTATAGTTCGGTTGTGTGCATAAATAAGGTTTCTCCCTTCGTGTGTAGCGCAGTGTTCGAGAAGTTCGTGTTAGTGAACATGTACTAATGAAGGGCAACTTACTGATTGACACTCAACTGCGGCACTTCCACATTTGTTAAAAGTTAACTTAGACTACTCAATATCCCAGAAATTAGTACATGAGCCATAGACAGGTGAAAGGACGGTAATCGTAACTTATATGGTCACTTAAGCAGGACACGGGAATAGGAGCGTTCCACTCATCTAAAGCAGGTGACCTTGCGATAAATTTCAGGAAAGGTAAATGGTCCCATGCCTTAACAGCAAACCTACAACACTACCACTAACATAAAACGGAACTCTGACCTTAACACTAACTCTACCCTAAACCTAAACTCCATAGTTACCACGAATCGAAACCTTAATACTTACCGTAGTCATGTCCCCAACCTCAACTCTGACCCTAATCCTCATCCTAAACCCAAGTCCTCCAGAAGTTAGTGAAAAGCCATATTCTCTCTCTTCGTATCCTGTTTAGGTGGTCATACAAGTCATCCAAACCCTTTTGAGATACAGGATGAGCGATTTGTGCGCTGCCTGGGAGAGGGGGGGGGGTGTTTTCATGCAGTGCCTTAAATTGCATCTAGTAGGTAACGAACTGTACGTTCTGTATGCTAAACGTCAAATGTCTAGGGTTACTGCTGAAAGCAATTGTGTCATATACCTGGACATCCTGTCAAATATACGGATATTTTATAAATATCCTTAAACAATGACAGACGGAGACGCCAAGCAACATTATTACAGACTTTAAGAGAAGAGTCAGCGCGTGGCGACTAACCCCCAATGATTCTTTTCAGAAAGCTGGAAGATCGTGGCTTTGCAGAGAGTTTGGCTAGCGTGGTTGCAGCGTGGATGATGCTTGAGGTGGTTGCCCTCAAAATGGTCCGTTCCTTTCTCAGGAACTTGCCGGCGCTGCCGTCTTTACGCGAGGAGATCACACGCGACGGTCTGATGCTGCTTGGCTTGCCTCCTCCTCCACCTCTGCCAGAGGACGTCGAGGACGAAGTCGAGGGGGGCTTCTTGCCCTCTGCCCCCTCTTCGTCCCGTGAGATGACAGGCGACTCAAGTTTCCTTCGCCTCTTCAATATCGGCGCCCGTTGGTCCGCGGGGGTCAGTGGGGCACGCTTAGTGGTGCTGGTGGTGGTTGTGGAAGATGGTACTAAGAATGCAAGAAAACAATCCAATGAACTCAGATGTGCCGAGGGGAGGTGATAAATCCACAGGTAGTTCTTCATTGAGTTAGTAGTTTTAAAGCATGTAATATGCCCCTCGTTATCAACATTCAATAATCAGACATCAATACTTGCAGCAGTAAGAATATTGCACAATGATCGTGTTCTTGTAAGCAGTCGCAGGTCGGGAAAAACATGAAAGTTGAAGAGGGTACCGACTGGATTAAGTGAAAGTCATAGGGGGGGAGGGAAAGACCTATCTGCCGTTATTCGAGGCAGAAGGGACTAGATACCGGACATTTTTCCTTCTTGGTTAAAAAATGAACTGGATTTTAAGGTCCGAACTACCGTGCAGTAGAGTTCGACTTCTTCAGAAAAAACAGAAATGTGTCTGCAGAAATAAGAGCCCACATAATGAGTCATCCGCTGAATACTTTTTAAGCAAATAAAAGTCAGTAAAGCATGTGGCTGGAAGGAAACCGGAGCCCGATGGACAATAAGTGCGCCGTGTATATGAGTATGACACGATTGGGTGGCAAACATAATAAATAAAACAAAATACTTCAAGATTAGTCCTTTATTCTGCCATCTTAACAAAATTTGGCTGAAGTTTTAATACTCAACTCGTAGATTGTACGAATTCAAAAACCGGTGAAAAAGTTTAAATTCATCGCGCATGTCTATAGTGTTCGCACAATCACTTTTAGTATAACTATTTATGAGATGAATTGAATGAGTGCCAGTAACGTCAAAAAAGCGTTTCTTATAAGGATAAGATAGATCGCTGGAACAAAGGGTTAATTAGCTTGACGTTTCGCATTATCTTTCGAGCCCATTATCAGAAACAATAGCAGATAGAGGCACAATGTTCACAGTAGCTCTATCACTCTTATCTGCGACTGTCTCCAATGATGGGTTCAAGCCAGAATCCGAAACACCAGGCCAACAAGTTTCTGGTTCCAGAGATTGCATGTTCTCCTCCTGAAGTGCTTCTTGGAACACGCCTGTTCGTTCCTATCAGCAAAATATTCTTTTTTATTTGCAGACGTGAAACTACAAACTGGAAGGGAAATTAGGTAAAAAAAATCGGATATCCAAAATAGCCGAGGGCCTGCAGGGTTTCTGCTCGCATTTTTAGGAAATTTGCGCCACGAAGTTAGCCGGATTTGTTTCGAAAAATTAAACAAATGCCGTCTTTAATAACGAAGAGTGACACACTTAAATTCAGGAGAAAATTATCTACAACCTGACATCAATCCAGGTAAAAGTAATTCTCAAATGACACCGTGGACGTCCCAGGCATCTAAACCTCAGAATAATCCGGAACTTGAGTGCAAAGAAACCCCTGAGTCTGAAAAATCAGCTCACGTGAACACCTGGTTCCTAAACGTAGTCAAGTAATTAAGACGTGAAAGTCACATGATTTCTTTGGAATACTTAAAATTAGGTTGTGGGAACAAGAAACCCATGTTGTGGTGTAAAGAATGCGAGGTTGGTTACTGAAATCGACAGGTTCGTTACTGCTGAAAAAACTTCCAGCTACACATACTAATACCTATAAGATTTGTTACTTTTTAAAGACGGAATATGCACTTCACTAGCATAGGCGAACAATTGGATGCTTAACGGAAATAGGCGCATCTCATTGGCACCCCAATTTGCATAACCTTGACAAATACTTCCAAATGAGAACGGTTTAAAGGACGAAAAAAAGACGATAGTGACAGACAACAAGTAGGCGAATGAAAAAGAATGGGCGCAAAATATAAGCGTCAGCAAATGTACTGAAAGCGGTAAGAGGGCGCCTTGTTCAATAACTCCTCAAGAAGCGTTGTCGATTTTATCATAATTCCCAACCGCAACAGTATGTCCTGGTTTTCGAATAGTATTCTGTCATGAAAAGGATTTAGAATTAGACGCAAAGGCTGGAACGGGACTTCGTTCGCCTGACGTTTCGGATTCATGATCGAACATATCATTGGATACGAGTAATGTGTATACAGGGCGTTGAGGTATTAACATGATGCAGTCACTATGCTACCGTATATCTATGACAAATAACGGCTCTAACCTCTTCATCGAGAACGAGTGCTCTCTGGTGCGTTAACTGTTTGATGTTCAACATTCGAGTCGTTAATGGTTGGAATTTCATCCCCAGTATTAGACGTTGATGTGATGATTGCTCGGCAATTTGGCTCAGGGCTCCTGACATTGGCAACGATTTTCGGCTGCACGCCCCCAGGGTGACTAATGACTTTAGTCAAACGACGTCTCGGCACCAAACCTGAGATTGGGAGGTCATTGCACTTCTTAATAGGCTAGGGGCCCGTGAACCATGACGAAAGCAGTCTGCGGCCAATATGATTGCCATCTCTCGCAAGAAGTACAGCCTCATCAAACTTGAATATGTGGTCGGATCAGCGACTTGAGAGTTTGCGTCATTTCTCCGCACTGCTGTCAGATGTTCAGTTATTCGCGTTCGGAGCAGGCTGCCAGTTTTTTCCGACGTAAAGTAGGTGGGTCAACTCATGTAAAGTCATAACGGAAATTCGAGTTTGTAATTTAGGGTATATTTGGTCCTGTTATTTTTATTAGGAGGCGGCCTAATTGCCTCGCTCCTACGCAATACTACCGATCCACCCACACGCGATGCACGTGATGACGCGCAAGCTGCCGCCCAGATTAGGACTCTACGCCCCCAATTGGATGAGTCAGGAAGCCGGTCGAGCTGCTACCCACTTGAGGACACTACCTATTGGCCCGATTGCAGGCCAATCGGGTAAATGTTCGTGCATGCCTCGGTTGACTTCATAAAGTACACAATTAGTAAACGACAATACACTTCCTCTCTTCCGCCCCCGCAGTTGGGTTCTCCTCTTGGGAATTCGATCAATGCGTTGTTGGACAGCGAACTTCGTGGCCTGTGGGAAGGTTATAACAAAGTTGATCTGATAAGTGTATTCGATCCTCAGATATAGCCTCTTAGAAAGGAAAACTGTATATTTACTTCAAGTTATTTAAGGGGAACGGACGGCATGCAGGCGAAACCGGGGCTGCCGGATACCGAAGGAATTTCCTATGACAGAACAAATTATTTTGTTTTTTTTTCACAGTATGCCAGAAACGTTTAAAACAGAGTAGGTCGCCGGTTATTAAGCCCACGGTTAATAAGCCCAGCCGCGTATTAAGCCCAGTCATTATTGAGCCAAGGTTAATAGGCCCAGCCGCGTATTAAGCCCAAGTCAGCTTGGGACGGAATTTCACATAGCAAAATGCGCCGGCTACAAAGCCCAGTTTGCCAACAGGATAGAGTGGGATTCTCATCTC